GTTGGGGGTAAGATCCAACTACTTTTAACCAGTGCTCCTTTTTTGGCCGCTATGTCTCACCTCCCTCCCCGGTTTCTGCTCTGAGTCTTTTGAGGGTTCTGTGGTTTAGATCAGGATATTCTTGGCAATCTCCATTTCAGGTTTAAGATTCAGGTTTTGTACATATGCTAAGTAAATTAAGGGTCATCATCTGCTTTTTAGCTTCCAAAATTTATTGCCATTGTCTCCTTGCCTTTTCTCTCCATCCTTTTGGGCTTCTCTATTTAAAAAAAAAAAAAAAAAAAANAGATTCCCAATTGTCTATGGCAGGGACCATTTTGCAATTCTTTCATCTCTTCACCAAATTTACTACATCTACTAAAGATTCTATATTGATTGAATTTTGCATTTCTTTAGCTTTTAGAAAATTTATTTTCATGTGTTTCCCTGAAAACCCTTGAATTGGAGGGAATTCGAGGATCTTTTCACCTTCTCCCAGTTAGGGCTAAGCTTCTTTTAGGAAATAAAATGACCTACAATTGTCCTCTTGATCTCCTCGTTGATGACCACATCTGGGGTTATTCTATGGACATAATTACAGGAAAAACCTAGAGGAGCTAAGGCAAAACCAAGCTTTAAAATAAAAAGCGCAGTGTCTGAGGAGATTTGATCTCTGTCGCATACTTTCTTCACACGTAATCCCTGGGGGCTCTATTACTGAATGTAAAATGTGCTTGGCTGGGCTGTGAATCCACTGGGGCTGTCCCCGGAGGAATGTGGGAACACACGAAGGGAGGCAAATGTGCCTGACTGTAGGGCTGTGACTCAGGACACACCAAATGTGCTCACGGAGCCAACGGAAGGAAAATGGGAACCACCTCTCATGTCATCTTCATGTGAGACTCAAAGGAGCTTGATGGAAATTAGCTTTATGGATGGCCAAAGGTGGTCAGAAAAGAGCAAGGCTGCCAAGACAGATTTTGAACACTAAGAATGTGCTAGTGATGTTTGCTGGAAGACTGAAGACCCAGGGGAACACTGATACCACCTTTTCTATTTACTGAGGGAAAAAGAGAAGATCTGGAAAACCTAGCTTCAGTCTTTCTACTATAATTTATGGAGTTACTTTAAGTTATGACTGTTTAACTATCAAACGCACAAACATTTCCTCTGAGGACAACTGATTCCTAGTAACTGTATTTGTGTCTACTTATGCCCACACTTCATCTAACAACCCAGCAACTGCCTCAAAACCTTTAATATATATCTTCTCTGCATTGTGCTTTTTGCTTTCTCATAATTTTGGTTTATCCCAACTTCACCTGGTTAATGATCCCTCTTAGTTTGGAGATGCGTGCTTTCCACTTTAGATCTTTTCTATTTCAAATTCCTAGGAGCAAAAATCCCACTGTCCCTTCTCTTTCCTATTGAAACAGAGTTTCTAGCCCCACACCACTTCATGGACCACTGGCCAGCCAATGTTTTACCTGCCCTTGGGTCAGATCCCCCCCGTCCTGGTCCAATCAGCTGTAGCAGAGGTGGCTCAGTGGTAAAGAATCTGCTGCCAAACAGGGGATGCAGGTTCGATCCCTGAGTGGGGAAGATCACCTGGAGAAGGAAATGGCAACCCAGTATTCTTGCCTGAGAAATTCTGTGGACAGAGCAGCCTGAAAGGCTACAGTCTGGGGGTCACAAAGAGTGGGACACAACTTAGTGACTAAACAACAAACATGGCACTAAGGTAGGGCAGTGTCTTTTAGAAAGAGCTATGACTATGCCAGAAATCATGATGGACATTTCTGGTACACCTGGCTTAGAGACCAAGGAAGGACATACTCATTTCTTGCCTCTCTCCTTGTCCTTAAGAAGAGCATTCAAAAGACTAGGAAATGGTATCTTTGGGAGCATCTCTAGATGAACCAGAAACAAAGACTTCTTTGTGTGCCTTTAATTATCCCAGGGAAGGACATTTGGGGCTCAAGCTTTTCAAAGAAATACCTCTTGCATTTGAAAATACTTGTTTAATTAGAAATTTAGTCCAATGTCCATCTTTGTATTTCTTGTTGCTACTCTATTTTTACAAAAAATTGGAAAAGGTCAGTTTTCACTCCAATCCCAAAGAAAAGCAATCCAAAAGAATGCTCAAACTACTGCACAACTGCACACATTTCACATGCTAGTAAAGAAAGGCTCAAAATTCTCCAAGCCAGGCTTCAGCAATATGTGAACCATGAACTTCCAGATGTTCAAGGTCGTTTTAGAAAAGGCAGAGGAACCAGAGGTCAAATTGCCAACATCTGCTGGATCATCGAAAAAGCAAGAGTTCCAGAAAAACATCTATTTCAGCTTTATTGACTATGCCAAAGCCTTTGACTGGGTGGATCACAATAAACTGTGGAAAATCCTGAAAGAGATGGGAATACCAGACCACCTGACCTGCCTCTTGAGAAACCTGTATGCAGGTCAGGAAGCAACAGTTAGAACTGGACATGGAACAACAGACTGNTTGGACTGCAAGGAGATCCAACCAGTCCATCATAAAGGAGATCAGTCCTGGGTGTTCATTGGAAGGACTGATACTGAATCTGAAACTCCCAGTACTTTGGCCACCTCATGTGAAGAGCTGACTCATTGGAAAAGACCCTGATGCTGGGAGGGATTGGGAGCAGGAGGAGAAGGGGACGGCAGAGGATGAGATGGCTGGATGGCATCACCGACTCGATGGACATGAGTTTGAGTAATCTCCGGGAGTTGGTGATGGACAGGGAGGCCTTGCATGCTGCAATTCATGGGGTCGCAAAGAGTCAGACACGACTGAGCGACTGACTGAACTGACCTCTGCTAATCCATTCCTTCCCTCCCCTAATCCATCCCTGCTTGGCAACCACAAGTCTATTCTCTATATCTGTGCATCTGTTTTTGTTTCATAGATATGTTGATTTATATCCCATTTTAATTCCACATAATTGATATATGGAATGATATCTTATGGTACTTATCTTTCTCTTTCTGATTTACTTTTGCTTAGTATGAGAATCTCAAGGTCCACCCATGTTGCTGCAAATGACATTATTTTATTCTTTCGACGGTTGAGTAATATCCCTTGTATGTGTGTGTGTACACACACACACATACGCTGCATCTTGTCCATTCATCTGTCAGTGGAAAGTTAGGTTGCTTCCTTGTCTTGGTTATTGTACACAGTGCTGCTGTGAATACTGGGGTGCATGTATCTTTTTGAATTATAGTTTTTTCTGGGAGTGAGAGTGCTGGATCATAAGGCAACTCTATTTTTATTTTTTTGAGGAAACTCCATAGTTTTCCATAGTGATCTCACCAGCTTACATGTCCACCAACAGTATAAGAGGACTCCTTTTTCTTTACACCCTCTCCAGCATTTGTTGTTTGTAGACTTTTTTTTAATGATGGCCATTCTGTGTGATGTGAAGTGACACCCTCATTGTAGTTTTGATTTCAATGTCTCTAATAATTAGCAATGTTGAACATCTTTTCATGTGCTGATTGGTCATCTGTATGTCTTCCTTGGAGGAATGTCTATTTAGGTCTTCTATCACTTTTTGATTGTGCTGTTTTTTTTAAAGTTGTATGTGCTCTTTGTATATTTTGGAAATTAAGTTCTTGTTTGTCGCATCTTTTGCAAATATTTTCTCCCATTCCTAGGTTGCCTTATCATTTTGTTTATGGTTTCCTTTGCTGTGCAAAAGTTTGTAAATCTGATTAGGTTCCATTTGTTTATTTTTTGCATTTATTTCTATTGCCTAGGGAGACTGACCTAAGAAAACACTGGTACAATTTATGTCAGAGAATATTTTGCCTATGTTGTCTTCTAGGAGTTTTATGGTGTCATAACTTACATTTTAGTCTTTAAGTCATTTTGAGTTTATTTTTGTGCATGGTGTGAGGGTGTGTTCTAACTTCACTGATTTATATGTGACTGTCCAACTTTCCCAGTGCCACTGATCACTTAAGGTAAACTGTGTCAGATTCCTGATCTCCGAAGAAGACCAGGCTTGATCACTCAAGAGCTTTTGTATAGCAGAGAGTTTTTTTAAAGTATAAAAAGGGACAGAGAAGGCTTCTGACACAGACATCAGAAGTGGGACGAAGAATGCCCCCCTCGCTAGTGTTAGCAAGGGAGTTATATACTTTTTAATTAGTTATTACAGTAAATCAAAGGAATGTCTCAAGTTTGTGAAAATTTTACCAGACCCACTCCCATAATTTACATTTTAAGATAACAGGATTAGCCAGAAGGTTTTCAGGAAGGAGAAACTGTCCTCCAGCACTGTACACTGTTGTTATATAATCCTTAGTACGGAGTTTAAACTGAGTTGTTTGTTGTGTAATCATCAGTTCTGGGCTTAAAGAAAAAAAAGTTTTATGTGGCTAAGACTAAGGAATGTGGAGAAAAAAATGTTTGTCCTTTCCTCCTCCTTGAGAATTCCAGACCCCTGTCTCCACTTCGAGACCAGACCCCTTTCTCCTCCTCGGGAACCCCAGACTTCTTATCCACCTGCCTAGGAATTGGCTCTGTCACGACTTGCTGAAGAGACTGTCTTTTCCCCATTTTATATTCTTGTCCCCTTTGTCAAAGATTAATTAACCATAGGTATCTGGATTTTTCTTCGGTGCTTTCTATTTTGTTCCATTGATCCATAAGTCTTGTTTTTGTGCCAATACCACACTGTTTTGATTACTGTAAGCTTTGTGGTATTGTCTGAAATCTGGGAGGATTATGCCTCCTGCTTTGTTTTTTTCTCAAGGTTACTTTGGAAATTCTGCATCTTTTATGGTTCCACATAAATTTTAGGATTATTTGTACCAATTCTCTGAAAAATTTCATTGGTAATTTGATAGGGATCACAATAACCTGTGGATTATTTTAAGTAGTATTGCCATTTTAACTATTAATTCTTCCAATTCAAGAACATGGTATATATCTTTCCATTTCTTTGAATTATCTTTAATTTCCTTTATTAATGTTTTGTAGTTCTCAGCAGATAAGTCTTTCACTTCCTTTGTCTGGTTTATTTCTAAGTATTTTTTGATAATGATTTTAAAAGGGATTGTTAGATTACATGCCCTTTCTTATCTTTCATTGTTAGTGTAAAGAGACATAACAGATTTCTGTATGTCAATGCTTATATCTTGCTACATTTCTGAATTCATTTATCAGTTCTAATAGTTTTCATGTGGAGTCTTTACTTTCTACATAGTTATCATGTCATCTGCATAGAATGACATGTTTACCTCTTCCCTTTCAATCTGAATACCATTTTTTTGTTTGTTTGTTTGTTTGTTTCAATCTGATTGCTTTAACCAAGACTTTTAATAATATGTTAAAGAGAAGTGGTGTGGTGAGAGTGGGCATCCTTGTCTTGTTCTAGATTTTAGCAGGAAGTCTTTCAGCTTTTTACTGTTGAGTATTATATTAGCTGACAATATCTATGGTTTGTCATAAATAGCTTTTCTTATGTTGAGGTATGTTCCCTCTATACCTACTTTCGTAAGGATTTTTTATCACGACTGGATGTTAAATTTTATCAAATGCTTTTTCTGCATTTATTTAGATAATCATATGGTTTTTGTCCTTTCTTTTGTTGATGTGGTGTATCCCACTGATTGATGGAATATGGTAAACCATCTTTGTGACCCTGGGATGAATCCCATTTCATCATGGGGTATGATCTGATCTTTTTGTGTGTTGTTAGGTTCAGTTTGCTAATATTTTGTTGAGAATTTTTGCATCTATATTCATCAAAGATATTGACCTGTAACTTTCTCTTTTAATAGTGTCTTTGGTTTTGGTATTGGTGTGATTGTGGCTTCACAGAATGTCTCTGGATTTGTTCCTTCCTCTTAAATCTTTTGGAAGCGTTTCAGGACGATCATTGTAAGTTCTTTCTATATTTGGTAGAATTCCCCAGTGAAGCCATCTAGACCTGAACTTTTGTTTGTAGGGCACTTTTTTTTTCATTATTATTACAGATTATATTTCATTTTTAGTGATTGGTCTATTCAAGTTATCTATTTATTCTTGATTCAGTTTTGGTGGGCTATAAATTTCTAGCAAGTTGTCCATCTTGTGTACATCTCAGTGATCTCCTCCCCTAAAATAATAATAAAAAACAATAATAATTCAGAGGAAGAGAGAGAATTCTCTTTACTACAGTCTTACATTCAGGCAGATGCTATGCCAAGCTTTGATATCATATTTTACTTAATTCTCACAACAACCCAATAATCTAAATAGTATCTCCATTTTAAAGAGACACAAAGATGGTAATAAGTTTGCCCAAGGTTACACAACAAGAAAAGAGTGAAACCAAGATTCAATCTCAGGTTTATCTGCCTCCAAAATACCTTCATCTTTGTAAAAATAATATATTCTTATTAAAATATCCATGCCCTAGGAAAGGATAAAGAAGACAGTAGAAAAATCACATGTAATTCCATTGCTCAGATATAATCACTCTTAACATTCGGTGCATTTCTTTTTAGATCTTTCCCCCCATGCATCCACATAATGCACACATACATGAAGCATATATCAGTTCATATATCAAAGAACTCTTGAGCATCTGCTATGTTGTAGATACTGTTCTACCTGTGGGGGTACTCCCAAGTCCCCATCTTAGGGGAGCATACATTATAGTGGGGGAATCAGAAAATAAATAAATAAATATGTTTGCACTATTCTGTATCCTAGCATGTATGTCATATATGGCTATGTGGGTTGTATACTGCTGACCTCTGGGGGAGCTTATTACACTGTCACTGAGGTGAATGATCTCCTCAAGAGTTAGGCACAGCTCCTAACCCACACATAATGGATACTGATATGAGACATAAAGCAGCATAAAGGAGAAATGTTATGAATGAGAAGTCAGAGAATACCTCTTTGATTAAGCAATATTTGAGAATTACCTAAAAAAAGAGAACAAGCTCAGTAGGAATCTGAGAGAAGAAGGGAAATAGCAAATGCACAAATCCTAATGCACAAATTTTCTGGGCATGATCAAGGAACAGACAAGAGGCTAGTATAGGTGGAAAGCAGTGCTTAAGAGGGAGAGGGTGGGAGATGAGGTCAGAGAGGCAGCAGGGGCAGAGGACAGGGCCTTGTGAGTATGATAAGGACTTCAGATTTTATCCTTTGTGATAAAAGCCCCTGGGGAGTTGTAAGTAGAGTTGAATGTCTTAAAGGAATGAGCATGTTTGCTTTACAGGGAAAGTGAAAGAGGAGGCAGTTCAATCACATAGAAGTATATTGGTAGCTTAGACTAGATGAGAGTTGTGGAGTGATGAGAAATATTCAGGAAGAAATATTCAGATTCAGGAAGTGTTCTAAGATGTTGCTGGCATTTGGAGCAGATTTCAGATAGTACCAGCAAGATTTACTGATGCTTTGCTGTGGAATATTAGAGAAAGCTAGGAGTCCAGATGACCTGAGTGGATAGAGGAATGTTTTATGGGTTATAGAGCATAAGAGGAGCAGGTCCAGGGAAAAGCCAAGGTTCCATTTGGGGAATCTAGTTTTCAGATGCCTCTTTTTTATTGTTATCTTTTTCTTCTTGAAAAAAATTTTTTAATTTATTTTTTTTAAAACCAAAAATATTTTGTGTTGGGATATAGCTGATTAAGAATGTTGTGGTAGTTTCAGGTGAACAGTGAAGGGACTCAGCCATATGATACATGTATCCATTCTCCCCCAAACCCCCTTCCTACCCAGGTTGGCACATAACACTGAATAGAGTTCCATGTGCTATACAGTAGGTCCTTGTTGGTTATCCATTTTAAATATAGCAGTGTGTACATGACCTTCCCAAAGTCCTTAACTATCTTTCCCGCCTCCCCCCGCCCCCTACCCCTGGCAAAACCATGAGTTCATTTTCTAAGTCTGTGAATCTCTGTTTTATAAGTAAGTTTATTTGTATAATTTATTCCACATATAAGGGATGTCATATGATATTTCCTTGTCTGACCTACTTCACTCAGTATGACACTCTCTAGGTCTATCCATGCTGCTACAATTGGCCTTTTTTTTAATGACTGAGTAATATTCCATTGTATATATGTAGCACATCTTCTTTATCCATTCCTCTGTTTATGGACAACTAGATTGTTTCCATGTCTTGGCTATTGTGAGCAGTGCTGCAGTGAACACTGGGGTGCATGTATCTTTCTGGGCCATGTTCTTCTCTGGATATATGCTCAGGAAAGGGATTGCAGGGTTATATGGTAGCTCTAGTTTTAGTTTTCTAAGGAACCTCCACACTGTTCTCCATAGAGGGTATAGCAATTTACGTTCCCATCAACAGTGCAGGAGGATTCCTTTCTCTCCACACCATCTCCAGTGTTTGTTGTCTGCGGATATTTTGAAGACAGCCAGACTGACTGGTGTAAGGTGATATCTCATTGTAGCTTTGATTTGCATCAATAAAGGACAGAAATGGTATGGACCTAACAGAAGCAGAAGATATTAAGAAGAGGTGGCAAGAATACACAGAAGAACTGTACAAAAAGATCTTCATGACCCAGAGAATCACAATGGTGTGATCACTCACCTAGAGCCAGACATCCTGGAATGTGAAGTCAAGTGGGCCTTAGAAAGCATCACTACGAACAAAGCTGGTGGATGTGATGGAATTCCAGTTGAACCATTTCAAATCCTGAAAGATGATGCTGTGAAAGTGCTGCACTCAATATGTCAGCAAATTTGGAAAATTCAGCAGTGGCCACAGGACTGAAAAAGGTCAGTTTTCATTCCAATCCCTAAGAAAGGCAATCCCAAAGAATGCTCAAACTACCACACAATTGCACTCATCTCACA